TTCCCCCCCCCCGGCCCCTTTGGGGGGGTTTGCCCCCCCCCCCCCCCCCCCCCCCCCCTCCCACCCACCCCCCCTGCAGGTCAAGCCTCTGCGCAAGCAGCTGACGGGCCTGCGGGCGTGGATTACGGGGCAGCGCAAGGACCAGTCGCCCGGTACCCGCATGGCGGTACCGGTGGTGGAGGTGGACCCCGTGTTCCAGGGCCTGGAGGGCGGCCCCGGCTCGCTCATCAAGTACAACCCGCTGTCCAACATCACCAGCGCCGAGTGCTGGAACTTCCTGCGCGTCATGGTGAGGGCCGTGGGGGAGGCTGCATTAACAGCGCGCGTGAGCGCCGGGCGTGGGGGCGTGGGCCGTCGGCGTCGGCGGCGTCGGCGTCGGCGTCAGCGGCGGTGGTGGTGGTGGTGGCGTGTGTGGGGCTGTGGGCCGGGGAGTGGGGAGGGCGGGGTGCAGAGCCGAGCGGCGCGCTGTCGGCTGCGGCTGTGCCTGGGGCGGGGTGGACCTGGCGCTCTGCTGCTGCAGGGCAGGGGAGCCCTCGAAGGGGACGGGCTGCAGCTGTCGGCAGCCCGCCCTGCTGACCACCCGCCTCCCTGCCCTACCCTCGCTTCCTCCCTGCGCAGGGCGTGCCCGTCAACGACCTCCACGCCTGCGGCTACATCTCCATCGGCTGCGAGCCCTGCACCCGCCCAGTGCTGCCCAACCAGGCGGAGCGCGAGGGGCGCTGGTGGTGGGAGGACGCCGCAGCGGTGAGCTGCGCCGGGGGCGCTGCCGCTTGCTGCCGCCGGGGCGCAGCCACTGCTGCCTGCTGCCGCGGCTGCTGCTGGCCCCACTCCCCCTGCCACGCGTGCCTCGCTGCCACCCCACACAGCCCGCATGGCCAGCCGGCCGCCCGCCAGCCCTCTGCACCTGCCGCCTCGCCCCTCACCGGCTCGCCCTCCCTCCCCTCCTCCCTGCCCCCTGCTCCCCGCAGAAGGAGTGCGGGCTGCACAGCGGCAACGTGAGCTCCTCGTCGGGCGGCGAGGAGAGCAGCCAGTCGAACGACCTGTGGCCCGCCGGCGGTGCGGTGGCGGCCCTGGACCGGCCGCAGCTGGCGGCGTTGCTGGAGGGGCCACGCGAGCGCGACACGCTCGTCGCCCTCTATGCCCCCTGGTGCCAGTATTGCAAGGTGAGGCGCCCAGGCTGCCCCCACGTGTGCTGCGCCTGGCGCGTGGGGCTGCCCCTGCGTTTGCTGCCTGCTGCTGCCGGGGAGTGCAGCCTGCTGCCAGGGAGCGCAGCCTGCTGCTGGGGCGCCTGCTGTGTGTGCGCCTGCCGCGTGGGCGCGGCTGGGCGGGGCCGCGGCTGGGCAGCTGGGGTGTGGAAGTGGGTGGGAAGGCTTGTGGCGGGTGCGCCGGGATGCCGCCTTAGGTCTGCCCGCCTTCGGCAGCACCCAAGCCGCCATGCACCCCTCTCCAATGCATCCTCGCAAACTGTCGCGTGCCTCCCTGGCCCTGTGTACCGCCCCGCAGGCGCTGGAGCCGCAGTACGCTGAGCTGGCGGAGTCGCTGGCGGGCGGCCACGTCAGCGTGGCCAAGTTCCAGGTGGGGGGCAGGGCGGGGTGCAGCATGGGGCGGACGAGCTGCGGCAGGGCGGGGACAGGATGGGGTGGGCGAGCTGCGGCAGGGCGGGGACAGGATGGGGTGGGCGAGCTGCGGCAGGGCTGGATGCAACATGGACCTGGGCGATGGCTTGCTGCGGGAGCCCGCATCGGCCCGTGGCCGCGCCTGGCGGGGCCTGCCGGCGGCGTGGCCGCCGCCGTAGCTTTGCTCGGCACTGCTCCGACCGCCGCCTCCGCCCCCTGCTGCAGGCTGACACCGACCGCGAGTTTGCCGCCGAGAAGTTTGGCCTCAAGACCTTCCCCACCCTGGTGCTGCTGCCCAAGGGCGGCAAGGGCGGTGAGCCTGCCTGCCGGCCCGCCTGGCCTAGCATCCGCCGGCCGCCGGGGCCATGCCGCTGTGCGCCGCGTCTTGCTTGTCGGCCCCGCCGCCCATCCGTGCCCCGCCGCCCCCTGACCTGTTGCTCCCTCCGCTCCTGTGCTTTCCTCCCGTGCTTTCCACCTGGCAGGCGACTTCATCAAGTACCCCAGCGAGCGGCGCGACGCCGAGACGCTCGGCATGTGGGTGCGCACCCTGACGGGCTCCACCTAAGCAGGCAGAGGAGGCCCGAGGCAGCGCCCCCGGCGCCCCAGCACCCAGCCCTAACCATCTGCCACCCAGCCGGGCCCCAGACCTTGCCACCCAGCCGGCCCCCAGCCCTTGAGCTGCAACCGAGACGGGACTCACGCAACTGAGCACTGACCCCAAACAGCATCCAGCCTCCACAGCACCCCATCAGCTCTGCTGAGCCCGCACCCCGCTTTGCAACACAGCGTGACGAGCGGCTGCCAGCAGTGCCCTGCACCACTTTTGAGAACCCATGCACCAAACGTCAGCCCTCCCTTCCCCGAGCCTTGCCCATTGCCAGCCTCCCTCTCTTTCTCCGCCTTGCGCCCCCGACAGCCGCCGGATGGATGCTCGCCTGCACTGCTGCCGGTCCCATATTGGCGCCGGCCCCACTGTGACACAACAGCGCATTCCATCAGGCAGCAACAGGCTGTTGAAAGGGGCCGGAAGGCGGTCGTGGCGCTGGCGCCGCATGTCGGCGACGTGGCGCCGGCTGTTTTCCCCTCTTGAACAGGCCTGCCAGCCGCCGGGTACAGTGGCGTGCTTGCTTGCAGCGCCCTGTTAGGGCTTGGGAAGCTGGTTTGAGGACCGTCTCAGCCGCTGCCGCGCTGCCTGCGGCGCTACCTGGGCAGTCTCGCTTCCCCCTGGTTGCAAGATGGCTAGCCTGTTCAACTTTGCCAAGTGAGAAGCCGCCAGCGCGCTGCCGCGATCAAGTCGATCGCGGAGGTGTTCGCCCGCTGTCTGCCCTTCTCGCAGGGGGACGCACGGGATCAGCAGATACCCCAATGAAGCCGAGCACCGTACCAGTGTCAGCCCGCCGGGCCCAACTGACCCCACCCGCCGCCGCCGCCCGCCTGCAGGAAGGGCGGCACCTTCCGCTCCGTCAAGAATGTGCCGGTGGGTGCCAAGGGGCTCACCCTCAAGCAGCACATCGAGCACACACTGGGCACAGGTGCGGTGGAGGATGCCGTGCGCCTTCCGCCAGGCGAGGACCTGAACGAGTGGCTAGCGGTCAACACAGGCAAGTGTGGGTTGAGCCGCGTGGTGATTGGTGGCAGGATGGGTGGCAGGCGCGGCGGATCGTCAGCAGCGGTCAGGATCATGCAGCCACGCCGTAGCAGTTCAGTCCGCCAGCTGCCAGGGCTGTGCAATGTCGTCACGTGCACCAGCCAGTGCACCAGCCCATGCCCCAAACCCGCTCCTGCCCCCTGCCGCTGCCCCCGCCCCGGCGGCCCTGCCCTTCCTTCGCCGCAGTCGTCTTCTACAACGCCATCAACGTGCTGTACCAGGTCCTGGACGAGACGCTGTGCACCTCCACGGTGCGGCGGGCTGCTGCTCTCTCTCACCGCTTGCCTTGGCAGCAGCTGCTGCAAAGGCACCCTGAGCCTTGGGCAGCCGCAGCATCGCTGCGCACACAGAAGCATGCTGCCCACCCCGCTGGCCCTGTGCTGCTGGGCCCATCCCTTGCGGGCTGCAGCGCTGCCCGGTGATGTCTGCTGGACCGCAGTACGAGTACCTCTGGGCGGACGGGCTCAAGGTGGGAGCCGCAGTCCTGCTCCGTGTTGCAGCACCGCTCTTAGCTGCCTCCCGGCTCCTGCCGCCGTGAGCCTGAGGGGGTCTGGTGCAAGAGGTGGCAAGCTCAGCTGCAAACTTGAAGCGTGGCCGCCTGGCCGCCTCGCCGCACTGGCGATGCTGGCGGTGTTGCGCCCACCCGTGCCTAGCCCTGGTGCTGCTGCCCACCCCTCCCCGCAGGTCAAGACGCCCGTCAAGTTGTGTGCCCCGGACTACATTAACTGCCTGTTTGACTGGGTGGAGGACCAGGTAGGACTCTTTCTTCGCTGGGGGTCAAGAGCGGTCGCCGGTGTAGCATCAGGGGATCGAGCTCAACCGCAGGGCTGCAACACATGCTGGGCGTGCCGTGCTCACCCGTCCCCTGCCGTGCCTGCCTGCCCGCCCCACCCCCGCAGCTGGACAACCCCGGCATCTTCCCGCAGCGCTACGGCGGCTTCTTCCCGCCCACCTTTGCCGCGACGGTGCGCAACATTCTCAAGCGCCTCTTCCGCGTCTACGGCCACATCTACCACTCACACTTCAGGTGCCTGGGCGGCCTTTGCTTGGCCTGTGGCCAGGGGTGCCCTGCTTTGGCTGCGCAGGTAACAGCTGGTGGTTTGGTTGCCCTAGGGACTCGGGGCTGACGGTTTCAGGCACTGGCGGTGCAGGCAAGTTGAGAAGCTGGAGCTGGAGCCGCACCTCAACACCTGCTTCCGCCACTTCATGCTCTTCACCCTGGTGAGGCTGGGGGAGGGCGTAGGCTGGAAGAGCTGCAGGGGAGCGTTGGCATGCTTGCTGTGCGTGCCGATGTGCCTCACTCTCTTGTCTGCCCCTCCTGCCGGACAGGAGTTCAACCTGATTGACGAGCGGGAGCTGGCGCCTCTCAAGGAGCTCATAGACCGCATGGTGCGGTAGCGGCAAATCCTTTGTTCGGTGCCAGCCCCTTGCTGCTTTACCGCCAATCCTCTTGTGCATAGTATTTGCTGCTCCTGCTGTTCTTGTTGTTTTTCAGTTTTCAGCTTGCTTTCTCCTCGCATATACCGCTCTCACAGATCATCTGTTATGGCATGTGATTCTTGAAGTCAAAGGGCGTTGGCAAAGGCGGTTGTTTCCATGGTGCGAGCGCTGAAGAGCGCTGGTTGTGGGCAGGCAGGCAGCGGGGCAGCAGCCAGGGGTCACGCACGGCGGCCAACAACGGCAAACTGAGCTCGCCGCTCACCGTGTCGGTCCTGCAGGGCAAGAGGAAGGGCAGGAGGCAACCTCAGCGGGAAGAGCGGCAGCGGCGACGTGAGCGTGCGGTGCAGGGTTCGGACTGGGAGGTGGTGGCCAGTGCTTGAGGCAAGAGAGCACCGGCAACCCCTCCCAGGAGGATTGTGGGTTTAGGTGTCAGCATCGGCGTATGCAACCGCCGTACTGTTGCCGCCTGAGGTCGGGAATGGGATGTTCCCTCCTCGCACCTTTCCTGATGTCCGTCCTCCTTCTCCCCCGTCTTCTGCCTGCCCGGCATCCCTGGGCTGACCCTGTAGACGGGCCCCTTTTGTGGTCATCCCTGGGCTGACCATTCACCAAAAATTCCCTCCACAACACAAAATTTTGCAAAACACAACGGCACTGGGAATTCCCGTGTGATCCCTCAACACAGTACTAATCCAGCCCAATCCAGCTTAACTTCGGAGTTCTGATGGGATCCGGTGTGTTCTGGATGGTATGACCGTTGCATGATGGGCGACAAACAATTTGATATATAACACCAGAACACGGTTTTTTCGGTTTTCAAAATTTCACCGTCGTTGGCCGCGACGTTAAATAAGGAGCTGGATGAGTGCCGGTGGGTGATACCACAGGCACGAGTTCGAACCCCAGCCGGGACACTAGCTGGGACTTTGCCTCACGGCACCTTCGTGGCGGCATCTGGGCGGTGGACGGCTGCCCGGCAGACCGGCATGGCGCTTGCAAGACGGAGCCTCCCCGGGATGCCATCGGCGGCCAGATTTTCCTCGCTCTGGACAGCCGGCAGGGTTAGCGGGTTCGGCCCCAGCACATTAATGTGCCCAATCCCTGTAACACACACACACACACACAAATTTCACGTCGTACAGCCCATCGTACCGCCCCACACCACCCCCAGCAACACAGACCATCATATCCCCTAGAGGAGGGCAGGCACAAACGCCCGGCATGCGGGCAATCCGTGCATCTGCCGCCCGTTGGCTGTCCAACGGTGGCACAAGCGGGTGAGAAAGGAGAGCCAAGGAGAACATGGGCTGAGAGATGAATCGCCGGCTGCGGCGCTCATGCGATGCTGTGTTTTAGTGGCAGCAGGGAGCTTTTCTTACGCCTCAACTCAACTCAGAACTGCTGAGCTGCATCTCTGGGCTCCCACACCTCATGACACAAGCTCGCCGGTGTGTTACATCATGACCGCACCAGCCAGCAAGAACGCAACTCCCTCCAACCCACGGCAACAGGACCGCGCTGCCTACAGCTCCTTCTTGCCCGCCCCGCCGGCGGCGGGCACCAGCGCAGCCACCGATGCGCCCAGCGGCCCCTCCGCCGCCGCCTTGCCCACGCGGCTCATCTCCACCTCCGCCGCCCTCCCCATGAACGTGACCTCGCTGGCCGCCTCCTCGCCACGCCCCTGCAGCGCCAGCAGGTGGCCCCGCAGCTCGTGCTTCTCGCGGTTGACCTGCAGGCGCGGGGAGCAGGGACAGCCGATGGGGAATGGCGACTCAGGCACGCAAGGAGGTGGATGCGGGCTGTTGGCATCTGGGACGAGCAGGCCGAGGGCCGTCGACGAGGAGTCGGCCAAGCGCTGGTGGGCAGCGGTGGAGCAGCGCGCGCCCAGCAGGCGGGCCTGCACAGTAGCAGCAGCGTTGCAACTGCCGCCCTGCACGCTGCCAGCCTCCCACCCGCAACGCACCCTGTGCACGATGAGCAGCACCACCCAGGCTGTGAGGGAGTAGAGCGAGATCCAGAAGTTGCGCTCGTGCCTGCAGGCAGCGGCAGGCAACACGGTGCGCTCATTGTTGTTGCCAGCCCACGCGCCGCACTCTGCTGCCAGACGGCCGTCCAGCCGCCCAGCAGCATGGAAGAGCAGCCAGCCAGCTAGGGGCGCAGGTACTTGGCGCCGCGAGGCGGGCCGGGGCTATGGGCGTCGTGCTACGGCACGCGGCGCGGCGCCGCCACCATCGCCAGCTGGCACCCACCGGAACTTCTGGGATAGCAGCAACACCAGGATGTTGGGGTCCCGCTTGTCGTGCAGCGCCCATAGCTCGCGCTCCGCTTGCACCATGGGCGGCACGGTGGCCACCAGCGAGGCGCCTGGGTCAGGGCAACAGGGTGGAGTCATTGGGGGCTAGGGATTTGAGGCGGGCTGGGCGCAAGCTGCGGCAGCGTGGTGAGAGGCGAGCCCAGGCACACGGAGAGCGGCAGGTGAGCGGCGCTGCCCTCGCGGGCTAGCGGGGCAGGAGGCCTAATAGGCTTGCAGGAGCACGCGTTGTAGCCAGCAAGCGGCGGCGGGCGGCAGCAGGGAGGCGCACCCGTGACCAGCAGGGCGACATGGATGACCTGGAAGGGGCGCCGCACCTCCCAGCCCAGGACCTGCACCACCACCAGGCCAGGAGCTGGGGCGAGGGCGGCAGTAGCGGCGTCAACTTGGCGGCGGCAGCGGCGGCCACCTACCTTTTCCGTGAACCAGAGCACCTTGCGCCGCACTTCACGGGGCGCCGGGGTGCTGAGGATGCCCACAAGAAGGATGGGCAGGGGCAGAAACACCATCGCCTGCACCCTCCACCAAGTGAGCTCCGAGTTGGGGGACTCCATGGTGATCACGAGAGGCACGCCGGAGCTCTTAGGGATGCAAGCAGGCACTGAAAAGGAGGGTGGCCAGAGTGAAGCTGGCAAACTGCGCACTCGCCCCCCGCACTGGGCCTAGGATCAAGCAGAGGCGTGCACACGAATTGGTGCGATGCCGAGATGATAGGTTTCTGCATTTCACAAATCAATCGCGGCTCTCGCGAGTGCCGCACCCCTCCGCACACACACTGTGGCACCCCGGTGGCACCCCGCAGGTGCCAGCGACCGCGGAGCCATTTGATCGCGGCAGGGCGGCGCGGATGCGACGCGATCAGTGCGGAAGACGATATGTTCACGGTTGATCGGCCAAGAGAGCCTGGCTCAGGTCCGAGTGCGCCAGACATGTCTGGCATGCAGACATGGCAGACATGCCTCAGTGCGGGTGGTGGTAGTGCGCGCAGGCCAGCAACCGCATTGCAGACGTCGCTAGAAGCTAATGAAGCTGAAGAGGAGGCCCACGGCCCTGCCATGGTGCGCCGCCACTGAAGCTCCGCCGCTCGCCGCCACCGCCGCCGCTCGCCGGCCGCCGATGCCGTGCCTTGCTGCCGGCGTAGGTGCCCTTGTCCTCCAGATGAAACTTCATCCCTGCCTATATGCAGACTGGGATGCTCTCCTCCTGACCCTCATGCAGCCAGAGACCTAACGGCTGCTTATTGTTTCAGCCTTGCTGTGTCTGCTGTTGGGGATGCCAATGCGCCCCTGGCAGCGGTGGCGGGGAGGGACAAGCCTTCGGCCACTGCACCACCTGCAACATGTGTAGAACCATCCCTCTGCACACACAAAACTGCGTCCTCCACCACAACACAAAATTTTGCAAAACACAACGGCACTGGGAATTCCCGTGTGATCCCTCAACACAGTACTAATCCAGCCCAATCCAGCTTAACTTCGGAGTTCTGATGGGATCCGGTGTGTTCTGGATGGTATGACCGTTGCATGATGGGCGACAAACAATTTGATATATAACACCAGAACACGGTTTTTTCGGTTTTCAAAATTTCACCGTCGTTGGCCGCGACGTTAAATAAGGAGCTGGATGAGTGCCGGTGGGTGATACCACAGGCACGAGTTCGAACCCCAGCCGGGACACTAGCTGGGACTTTGCCTCACGGCACCTTCGTGGCGGCATCTGGGCGGTGGACGGCTGCCCGGCAGACCGGCATGGCGCTTGCAAGACGGAGCCTCCCCGGGATGCCATCGGCGGCCAGATTTTCCTCGCTCTGGACAGCCGGCAGGGTTAGCGGGTTCGGCCCCAGCACATTAATGTGCCCAATCCCTGTAACACACACACACACACACAAATTTCACGTCGTACAGCCCATCGTACCGCCCCACACCACCCCCAGCAACACAGACCATCATATCCCCTAGAGGAGGGCAGGCACAAACGCCCGGCATGCGGGCAATCCGTGCATCTGCCGCCCGTTGGCTGTCCAACGGTGGCACAAGCGGGTGAGAAAGGAGAGCCAAGGAGAACATGGGCTGAGAGATGAATCGCCGGCTGCGGCGCTCATGCGATGCTGTGTTTTAGTGGCAGCAGGGAGCTTTTCTTACGCCTCAACTCAACTCAGAACTGCCGGGCCGAGTCACAACTCATCCCATTCTGCGCTTCTGCTCACACAGCCACCTCACTACATGCAAAACAAGCTGTGTATCACTTTGACTGCCACAGGCGGGTCATGCAACGACGGGAGGCCGTCGGGCGTGGGCCACGCCAGCTCGCTCCAGCCCTCCACCCCATGCCAGGCCTCCTCACCACCCCAGGAAGTAGGCGGCGCGCTGCATGAGCGGGTGGCACAGGTAGGCGCCGACGCAGAAGGGGGCCAGGAACAGGTAGGGACCGCGGATGAACTCCTGCGGGGCAGGAAACGCGGGGAGAGGCAGGACGGGAGGCTCTGCGAGTGCCTCGCACGCGTCACACTGCAGCCAGCTTCACGTCGCCGCGCCAAACAGCGGCAGCCCGGCATGACACTGCCACCACAGCACGCCCAGCACATCCGCCCCATCAAGCGGCACCGCCGCCAGCTGTACCGACACCGACCTTGTAGTAGTCGTGCGGCAGCTGCTGGCGCCCGTCCAGGATGGCGGCAAAGGGCAGCGTGGAGGTGCGGGCCTTGACCGCCTCGAACGCCTCCCCGTACTTGCGGCGCAGGCGGTAGTCGCCGTGCCAGCAGCCGAACAGGTGGTGGGCCATGAGGCCCAGAGAGGTGACCACCTTCAGGGGTTGGCAGGCAGGCATGCGCGCGCGTGGATGCCTGCCAGTGGCTAAGGGTAGGGTGTATGGCGGGGCGTGAGGCATGGGGGCCTGGCTCAGGACAGGCTGCGCAGCAGCGGGTGGCTGGCAGGCGAGCAGCACAGCAGCAGGCGCAGCAGCAGGCGGGGAGGCGGCCTGCCGCTGCCCGCGCCGGCACCCACCATGAAGCTGCTGCCGATCCACAGCGTGTGCGCCAGGCACCAGATTGCCTGGCCCACCATCTGCAGGCGGGCAGGCGGGGTGCGAAAGGGCAGGCACGGCGGTGGAGGATGTGTGCTGGCTGGCAGCAGCCGCAGCTGGCAGTACAAGGAAAGACCTGGGACGGGACAGGGCACGCAGCAAGCTGCTCGCAGGCAGCCAGCAGGTTCCACGCAGGCCACACAGGGCCGGGCAGGCAGGTAGGGGGCAGGCAGCAGGCAGGTGGCAGGCAGGCGGGCACCGCACGCACGAGCGTGCAAAGCGAGCAACGCAGGGAGGCGGGCAGCAGGCGGGCGACGGCCAGGCAGGCCGCACAGCAAGCAGTCGAGAACGCAGCACGCAGGCAGGGAGGGGCGGCGGGCAGGGCATGCGGGCAGGGTCACCTGCGGGTGGCGGGTGATGCGCATGATACCTGTCTCCCACATGTGAAGCTTGGGCTCGTCCACGGCCGCCACCTGCGCGGTACAGGGGGGTACGCACGGCGCTAGGCACGGCGCGGGCGAGGTACCGGAGGCGTGCGGGCGCAGGCCAGCGCAGCGCCGGGTCCTGCCGCGGCAGCCACACCATGGTCGCAGGCTGCAGCTGCCGCCTCGCGCTGCCGGCGCAGAGCACGCGCGCCAGCCCGCAGCCAAGCCTCCAGCAGCGTCTCACCTCCAGAATGTTGAAGGTGGATGGGTAGAGGAAGTAGAAAGAAAGGAAGGAGAGGCCCCACACCAGCTCATGCACCCCAGTCACGCCCCTGCGGGCAGAGGGCGTGGTGGGCGCAGGCACCAATCCAGACGCAGGGGCAGACGAAGTCAGAAGCGGGGCAGCACAGGGCCGGGGGCGCAGATTGCCGGCAGGCAGGAGGGGCTGCAGCCTGGCCGCAGCCTGCGCCCCGCCCTGCCCACTCTGCTCTGCCCCGCTGCTGCCACCATCCCTCATCATGCACACATCCCACACCACAACACACCTGACGTCCCACAGCGCCATGCCCCACCCACGCTGCCACAGCCCACCTCCTCATGCACGCATTCCGCACACCACGGTACATCAGCACCCACCCCTCGCCGCGACCCCACGAGCAGCCCCCACACCCCACACCCCCACCGCACCTGACATTCCACAGCGGCACGCCGTCGTAGCGGTGGTCAATGAAGTACACCACGGCCGCCACCGCCAGCGGCAGCGACACCAGCGCAAACATGACGCGGTAGGCGCGCGCGCCCACCAGCTCCTCGCCTGCAGGCGCGGCGGCGCGCGCGCATGGGAGGGTGAGCGCGAGGCAAGGGCTCTCGAGGCGGCCCGCCGGCGGGCCGCCGCCGGCCCCGAGGCGATGCGCGGGGGCAGCTGCCGCGGCGGCGGCCTCGGTGCGACCCCGCGGCCGCCCGCAGCTCAGCTGCCGTCGTTCTCCACAGCACGACCCCTACAACCCCGAGGCGATACCGGCACAATCAGCACCACGCCGCTCGCCCCGCGCCGCACCGTAGGGGCGCAGGAAGGCCAGGCCGGAGTGTGCGATGGCAAAGACGAGCAGGATGGCCAGCATGACGACGGATGAGTCGGAGGAGAGGGAGGAGAGGGCGGCGATGAAGTCGTCGCCCAGGCCCAGGCCAGGCGCCACCCAGACCTGGGCAGGGAGGCGGGGCGGGCGGCAGGGGCAGGCGGCGGGGTTGGGTGCGGTGGTGCAGCGGCAGGGGTGGGTGGCGCGGCGCCGGCGGCAGGGTTGGGTAGGCGCCCGCGGAAGAGGGCGGGGATGGGCGCGCGGGGTCGGTGCCCCCGGCTGGGCTGAGAGGCGGAGTGGTCGCCGCGGGCAGGCCGACAGCGGCGGGGTGGGGGCCGGGAGGCCAGCAGGCAGGGAGCGGCAGGGTCAGGGCTGCGTCGCCGCCGTCTCACCGGATACAGCAGCGCCGACACGCCGGTCAGCAGCACGGCAAACAGCGCCCAGCTGCGCAGGCTCTGGTCCTCTACGTTGAACACAGCAGCGTCCTCGCCCACCAGCTGCTGCTCCGCTGCGGCCGGCGGCGGCGGCGGCGCGCCAGGCTGCGCCTCGCCGCTGCCGCTCGCCTGCTGGGCCTCCTGCTGCTGCTCCGCGCGGCACCGCCACGCCCTGCCCTGCTGCTGCGGTCTGGCTGCTGCTAGGCGACCCAGGGGCAGCGCTTGGGGCCGCAGCCGGGCAGCAGGTGAGCTTCTGGCAGGGGCCTGCTGGCGCCCGGTGGCGCCCCTGAGTGGCGCATTCCCCATCATCATGCTGTTACCGGATGCGCACTGCATGGCGGCTGCCTGCAGGCTCTGATAGGCGCGAGTGCTGTCGGCTGGGTGTGGGGATGGAACCGCTGGCCGCACACGACGTGTATTCTAGTTGCGGCGAGCGCCAATTGCGCTGCGATGGGGCGTTTGCGGCCTGCCCAGGATGGGGCAGTACCCATCTGCAATACATGCAGGTTGGCTTTCAACGTGCAATGACGCCATTGACGGTGGTGGATGATATGACTCTTAAAGCTGTCGGTCTGGGGTCCCGGAGGGCTGCATGTCGGGCTGCATGTCAAAACATGGCGGGCCTTCTGCCCATCCCGCCACCGCACTGGGCCTTTTGAGAGCCCGCTGCGATGCACTTGCCCCACCATTCAGCGCCCGCTTCCCCCCCTGCACTGCCTGCTAGGCCTGTCATGACACGGGGCCTAGCAGGCAGGGGAGACGTGCCCTCATCCCGATCGCCCCCTACTAAACGTCGACACCATCGCTGCTCCCATCACTTGCAATTTGCCTGCCGCCCCTCCCCTGCCCCTTTGCTGTGACCTCCTCCCGCCCCTTCGCCATGGCCGCCCTCACAGCATCCACCAGCGCCTTTGCTGGCCGCAAGGCCTTCGCAGTGGCGCCCCGGCAGCAGGCAGTGGCTCGCGGCAGGCTGCAAGTGCAGGCATACAAGGTGCGCGACAGGGAGGGCCAGAGTTTGACTGGGTGCCGCCATCATGCCATGCATGGCACGCCTCAGCTCCCAGGACCCTTGCCCAGGCCCCCCGCGCCCGCAAAGTGCCGGGCCTGCCTGTGGGGCTGGCTGCAACCAGCTCGCACTCGGGCCCCAGCTGCTCGCCGCCGCCGCCGCTCACCCGCCCGCTCCACCCCTAGCCCGCCCTGCCTCGCTGTGCTGCCGCCAACCCATGCCGTGGCCCCCCCCCGCCCCCCGCAGGTCACGTTTGTGAGCGAGGAGACGGGCATGTCCAAGACTGCCGAGATCGGGCCCAATGAGTACCTGCTGGACGGTGCGGACGAGCACCGCATCGAGGTCAACGCCTCGTGCCGCGGTGAGCCCCGGCGGCGGCAGCATGGTCATGGTGCATGAAGCCGGCAGGTTTCCCCTCTAGTGGCCTGCCTCCTGCCGGGCTGCGGGGCTGCCGCCCTGCCTGCGCTTGCCACTGCTCAGCCCGCTCCGCCATCTCCCCCGCCTGCCTGGCGCTCCCCTCCTGACCCTCCTGGCCCCCCTCCCGCCGGCCCCGGCTGCCTCTGCTGCCGCAGGCGGCGTGTGCGGCACCTGTGTCAGCAAGCTGAGGAGCGGGCAGGTGGACCTGGAGTGGCTGGATGTGCTGGACGAGGGCTCGGTGCTGTCCCAGGAGCAGGTCAAGGTGAGGCTCGGCCGTGGGGCTGCCCCGGGGCCCGGGGGCCAGCGCTGCTAGTGCTGCTGGTGCGGCATGCCAGCTCAGCTTGGCTCCCGGAGGATGTGCAGCAGCTGCCGTGCCTGCCTCCTGCCTGCCTGCCTTGCCTCGTTGCTGCTTACGGTGCATCTGACCGTCCCCGGCCGTGGCCTGCTCCCCTGGTTCTCCTCCCGCAGGACGGCTACATCCTGCCCTGCTCCGCCAAGCCTCTCAGCGACTGCGTGGTGGAGATCAAGTGAGGACACAAGCCTGCTGCCGTTACGCTGCCCCTGTGTGCTGCTCCAGCAGGGCCGGTTTCATTTTGGAAAGATCCTGCTGCTGCTGGCCCCTGCCCTGCCTGCCTGCCTGCCTGCTCCCACGCTGCCACCTGCTGACGCCTGTGCGCTGCTGCCGCGCCCCTACCGCAGCAATGACTGGGGCGTCCACATCATTGAGAACTGGAAGCACACCGCCCGCGCCTGAGCTCCCTGCCCCAGCTGCACCCCGCACGCTGCCCCTGTGCCGCCACGCCGGCCCCCAATGCACGCCCCCCCACGACAATGAGAGCAGCCGCCCTAGGCCCCCATCGACGGGGGGAGGCCTGCGAAGAGCCCCCATGCTGACGACACACACAGACACCACCACCAAACCATTTTCCCCCTTGCCACAATCAACCGCATGCGTTTTCTGCGTGCCGCGCCGGTGTGCGCAGCGCGGCTCTCATTGCGCCCCCGCCCTGCCCGCCGCGGCACGCGGTTGCATGCTCCTCTTTCCTCTTGCTGCCCGCTGTCTGGTTTTTGCTCCCCGCTACTGTCCTTGAATTGCTCTTCCACGCCTCTTTCCACCCCCCCGCGCCTGCGGCGCCACCACCCCGCCGCCGCCCCATTGTTTACCATTTGATCGCCGGTATTGTATTGACGTGGCGGTTCGCCGTGGGCTGCCCCCCTTGCTTGTAACCCATCGCTTGTCGGACGCTGTGCCACCGCACTCGTGCCACGTGGTGGCGGAGGCGCCTGCGGTAGGGCGGCAGCGACAGGGGCCCTCCTCCGGCAGGGCGGCAGCGACAGGGCCCTCTGATCCGATGTGCTGCACGCAACTCGCAGAGGGGAGCCCAAGGCGCTGCAGGGTGGGGCGCCACTGCCTTTCAGGAGGTCGAGGCCGCTGTCTAGCTCACGGACCCTTCCGGCAGCTACCTATGCTGATACCCACATCAGAAAGCTGCAAAGGAACAGGAAATTGGTCTCAATGTGTGTGCCTGCTCCGCATGCTGGCTGCCGCGTGGCGTTGGAGGTTTGCCAAACCCTCCTATGCTGTGCTGCGACATTTGAGGCGGAGGCGTTGCCAACCAGCCCGAATTCTGCTGCATTTGTGGTACATTGTCCACTGCCGGGGTGTGTGCTTGCTTTGCCACCATGCAGTCCGCTATCGCCGTGCGCCCAACGGCTGGCCTGTCGGCCGGCAAGCCCGCCGCTCGCCCCCAGCAGTGCTCCAGCATCCTGCAGAAGCCCGGCCAGCAGCGCCTGCAGCCCTGCCAGGTACCCGCGCCATGCCCGCCCCCCAGTCTCGAAGCCCCGCATCT